CTGCCATAAATCATTATATATTTCAGAATATAGGTAGATACTATTTTTGTTAAGAACTTGGATTTGATGAGATTCTTTATTCCCATTGTCATCAAATTTCTCTGCCTAGGAATAAATTTTATTTGCAAAGCTTTGAAAATTAAGCATTTTTCATAAAGAAAATGTGTATTTTTAAAAAACAAAACTAAAAGCAGAAAAAGATAAATACATACACCAATAAATAATATATTCTGTCTTGCTATAAAATACTGTTTCAAGAAAGAAGTCATGTACAGTTATTAACTATAGGCTATAAATGTTAGGCCTATATTGGTATTTAATAGCAGTATGCTATGCCATTTTTGGGATCTTTATTGATTCTTTGCTTAAAACATGGATTGTTTCGATATGTGAGTCAAGTAGTTAATATTCTGACTAGAGAATGAATAGTGTTTCATAATGTCTGCTATGGGAACTATCTCTCAAAGTCTTCTGTTTTTTTAATATATATTATAGTCTCTGTCTAGTAAAGTTCTTGCTAGGACACGGTGATATAGTTCCAGACAGTCTTCCATTATTGATAACTTGCTTGCTCCATCACATAATACCAGACTTCTGAATGCTTCTGAAGCAGTTTTGCAGTGTCATGACACTGGCAAAGTTCTGTCTTTATTCTCCCTCTCATAGATGCTGGAAGAATAAAATTCCTTTATTAAAATAGTCCTCTAATCAGCTGACATGTAAATATTTCAGTTGAGTTTGCGTTTGAAAGCAATGAAACGTCAAGTTGAAGAAGCCGAAGAAGAAATAGATAGACTGGAAAGTGCCAAAAAGAAACTCCAGAGAGAACTGGAAGAACAACTGGACATGAATGAACAATTGCAAGGACAGCTCAGTGCTGCGAAAAAGGAATTAAGGTAGGCTGACATGTTGGACCTTACAGTTACTTATCAAATGCTTCAACATTGACCTGTTGCTCCCTCAGTCCATGAGCCAGGGACTTACTCTAAAAAGCTTCAAGTTTGTCATAAGTAGACAGACTTTCAGAGGCAGAGTAGTGAAACTCCTGCAATACCTTTCTCTACAAATATTTGCCAATTGCTTCCTGGATGCACAAACATTCTTTTCAAAATCTCTCTTCTGAGAAATTCTGTGAGTCTGGGATAGAAAACGGAAACAAGTAGTGACACTCAGCACTTCTTCCTGCTAAAACAGCTCTTTTGTATTTAGCTGCCTTGGCCATCTTTGAACATCTCAGTGTGCAGACTTTACAAATTCCTCTGACTGTGCTCTTAGGTAGAGGTTCTTGAAGATATAAATGATTCGTCTTCATTCCTTCGTATGTGTATTTTGTATAAGATGTAGTCTAAGATAGTTTGACACTATTGAAGGACAAGTTTCTTTTATGTCCTTCAAAAATGCAGATGCTGCTTGTCAAAATTGAGCTTTGCATAATTATTCCACATGTAGATGTTCAGTTTTAATACCGCATACGTATGTATTTTTTGTGTTTTACTAGACGGAAGAAATCACCAAGTAAAGTGTTGACTGATTTTGATGATGATGATGATGATGAATTCAGCACGGATGGAGATAGTCTTTGTGAAACACCTTCAGGAAATAACATGTCAAAAGATGATGACACAAAAATCTAAATAAATATTGAATCTGTGATTCCTTGAAAGTACTGGAAGAATACCCTGAATTGCCAAGACTGGATATTCTAAAAGCCAAATGACACAAAGGAATATAAGAGCTGAGAATATAATGTTTCCATCCATTCTGTGCCATTTTCTTGCTTGGATCTTCTGTTTGCTGTAGAAAACAGGGTTGTATTATGAAGCGTGGATATACATATACACCTATAAACATAGAGATAACATTTCACGTTGGTAGTACAATTTATCTAAAATCCTGTTTAAGTGAAAAGCCATCTGAAAGTAATTCAGAACTAGTTTGTAGTTCTTAAAAGATTTTCTCTAAAATTAAGGAAGCCACAGAGGATTATTTAATAATTATAAGTAAGGGGAAATTATGTATAGAATGTAAATATTTTAAAACCGATGGTTTTATGACTACTTTAGTACAAGTTTGTAAAGTTTCAAATATTATATAAATCAATTCCACATGTAAAGTACATAAATTTATAATGAATGTTATATTTTAGTTTTAACTAAGAGAAAAACAACAACAAAACGAATACTTTCACATTTCCGGAGCCAAGAAGTATGTTCCAATTTTAAAGTCAGTTTTATTGTATGTATTCAGCATATTACTAGAGATCAAATGCCAGCGTGCAGAATTAGATCTCGAAGTTCCGATACTACCTGTTGACTTTAGGGGGACCATCAGGTGCGCATGATAAGTGAGCCTTGTCTATAACTTTGTTACAATCTCTTCTTTCAGAAGCTTTTTGTTTTTAATAGGGTAGGGTGAGAATGAGGTGAGTTACTACCAGGCATCTTTCGTTTCCCAAAGTGGGCTCTGTACTGCCGGGTGCACAGTTCTGTAGGCTTGCTCAGCTGCAGGCATCGGGACAGGTTTATCTTATCTTTAGGGAATCCCAGCCTATCCAGTAAAATGTGTGGCATTACAAGTACATGCCTAAATGTGTTCATTAATTGATCCTGAAAAGTTAAGCACCTGGCAAGAAATTGCACCAATTTCAGGAAATACAGAGCCTGTAATCATTTTATTTTCTTTTTTCCCCTAATTTGTTCTTTAGCATCTGTTTGAGAGGTCTTGCAGTGTATGATGATATATGCAGATATATATTAAGTGTTGCAATTTATAGCAGTATCTGCATTTTGGGATATCCATCCTGTGAAAAAAACTGTAGGCTGTTTTATTGAAGGAAAAAAAAAAGTGTCATTTATATTACACAGACAGTTTTGCTCTTATGCAAATCTAGAATCTTAAGGAAAGTGCACTACTCCATAATTTTGACAATACGCCTTAGGAGAGTCCTGTCTGATTATTAGCATTTCTTTCCAGTTTCACTTCAATGGAGTATTTCTCCATTGAATGAACCAAATAATAGTTTAATGGAATTGTAAAAATACTTTAACCCGGAGTTGCTGGGAGCTTCCATTACTCGCTCATAGGCAACTACTCAAGGATAAATTTAACAGGCCTGAAAATGAGGCTGAGACGTGGGTAATGCACAAGTGCTGACAATGGCAGTTCTCATATGATTATATGGAATGAAACTACTGCCTGCAGGATCAGAAATCTACTCATGCATAGTAAAGTACAGACTCTTTTGCCATATAATTCTCTTCAACATGATTTTGATGAATTGAAATAAATGAGAAATAATATGAACTGCATAGATGTAATAACCCGTCTCTGAATCTTGTTCCTCTTCTCAGGCATAGAGCAGGTTACTATTTTGTGGAGGTAGCTTTACCACTTTGACAACGTATAACCAGTCCTTCCTCCAGAAAGATCTGCACTATACTGTACTGACAATCATGTAATGTACTGTGATTTATTTTTTGCTTCATGTATGTGTTATTTTAGGCTTGACTTTAAAGAACTGATTCTAATTTTTGTTCTGTTACAGCATTCTGTCCTAATGTTCCTGGATGACTATTATTTCAAACCACTGGGAGAAATTTTCTAAATATTGCAGCTACCTCCAGTTACAGTAAACTGTAAAAGATAAAATTCACTTAAAATAAAATGTCAGCCAGCTCTTTCAGTTCTGCGTTTTATGGTCCATTTACCTTGCTCTGATGCTTGAACTTCATAGGGAAATGCTTGTGTGTAAGATATAACAGGAAAATATTTATCCAGGAAATATTAATACAGTAAGCAAGTTTTCTGCATTTTATTCCTTTTGGATAGCTGCTTTTCTTGTTACTTATAAAGTATGTGCAACGTGTAGAAGACTCCTTTTCTCATTTGAACTTAGGATAAAATACAAGGGCTCCTGCATTGCTGTCATGCTCTTGAGAGATTGCTGTGAACTGTTAGTGGGAGAAATCCTGCCTGTTAGACTCCCCGTCTTCGTCAAATGTCTGTTCATTTAGACTTGAGAATGGTATTTCCTCTTCAGAATTGTCAGTTGTGTGATCAAAATCATAGAAATTCTTAAGATATTGAAAAGCCCATTTTGATTCATTCACAGAACAATCTGTAGCTCTGGTTTGATATGAGATATGGAGAGGCCAGTTGGTTTTTTCCATGTGCTAGTATGTCCATTACTGCATTTAAGCAGGTATGAAGATGACAGTTATTTTTTCTGTGTGTTGGAATATCCCTTACTGCACTTAAGCATTTTAGGTAATATGACATGAGAACAAAGAGAAAATATATCTCAGTGATACTTGTATGTTTGTAGAAGAAATTGTCTAGGACCTCATTTACTAGTGTTTAAATCTAGTAAAAAATCTTAAAAAAACAATGGCCACCTGGGTGCTGAGAAATACTAGCTTCCAAAATTTTTCAGTACAAAGTGTCAGGTGTCTCAGGTGCTCTTTGCCAAAGGCTGGGTCACTGGGAGAGCATCAGTAAATTAGACTCTCCTACATCAGTACAAGTTGATGCTCCTTTACAGGTTAGTACCAATGAAGCACATACCTCAGTAGGAATATTATGCTTTATATAAGAGGCAACATTCAGTCATTCCTCCATAACTAATAACAATTTGCTGTTTTATTCAGATCCTGAAATCCTGTGTTATTAGCAGAAAAACAGGCAAGAAAAAAAAATATATGTAAGCACAGGTCGGTGACGAAAGGTTACACTCTCCAATTCAGCAATAAAGAAAATTGTAGGAACAGTGCTGTGCGAGTGCAGAGGAGGGGACTCCTTACAGGTAACTTCTTTGAGATTTTTCTATGCTTTCTGTGCATTTCTCCTGCTGTGGTAGAATGGGCTTTGTGAACAATACTTTATATGCTAGATTACTAGCTGTTTTCACTAGTGTTAAGCATATCACGGAGTCCTTTTATTTCGATTACAATCCAGCTAGGATGAAACCCAGGAAAGGGTTGATGTAGGATAAGGGAGAAAACGTGGGAAAAAAGATAAGGAGGCATCCAGCTCTGGTTGAACAGATTTTGTTCTTCCATCTGTCCTCCTTAAAGAGCTTGGCACAGAATGTCCCTTAAGCCACCTTAAATCTACAGAAATCTAACCAGGTCTGGGGTGAATGTAAGATTTCCTTCCAGAGAAACACTGTGAAGGTTCAAGATAAGGATGGGAGGGAACATGCTGCAGTAACAGGAGTGGGTCGAGCTGTGCCTGTACCTAGGGAGTGCCCGTGGCCTGTGTGCCTCTACTGCGAAGATCCTGAGTCCAGCTGAGACAAACCATGGAGGTGAAAACAGCGCAGCTCGTGTTTCTGTGGCTGCACGGGGCGTGCAGGCCGCTGCCCTGCATGTCCTTGTGTAGTGTGGGAGAGGAAGCTACTGTTTGGAACTGGTCTCTGTGCCAGAGATGAGCTGTGCTTTTTTAGAAGGCACTTCCACTGTGCCCATGAGAAATGAGCTGTTGACCAAATGTTCACCCCTCCAACCCACAAAGTTGACTGTCTATCCTCAGCTCAGCCTGGCCCTTGTTTTCCTGTAAGATAACGCTCAAGACCTTGAATTTGACTTGCTGGGGCTGCCAGCATTTTTCTGGTGTGTGATTCTGTATTAGAGGTGAGATTAAGGTTGATTTTGATGTTGTTTCTCATGTCTTTTGGTTCAAGTAGAACAAATATTAATAAAAAATAGCTCAGATCCGCATATCAAGCAGCCCAAGTGCAAGCATGTGCAAGCACAAACAGCTGGGTTTGCACTTCTGGAAGTGCTGTATCAGGGTTTAGAGCCTGCCCGAAAATATAGTCCCATTAATTCAGAACTGATACACCAAATTCTGTAGCTACGGTCATGCTGAGGGCACTGTAAATGCTTACTAACAAAGAGTTCATTAAGAGCTTCATCTGTGTCCTGACGTTTTCACAGGTATCTTCTGTGTAGAAGAGCTTTTTGATTCAGTGTCCCAAGTTTCCCCACCATTTGTCTTTTAAACACTAGAAGCTGAAAAGAAGCTGAATTGTATAAAGAAGATGAGGTAGTCTGAAAGTGGAGCTCTGGGAGTCAGGAGAATGCTAATATCTATTCGTTTGGGCAGCTGGTTCACTCTTTGACTTCCTTGTGCTTTGTTAGCATGCCTAGAAAACAGATCACAAAACTAGACCTCCTTGAAAACTTGATACTGTATCTAGTTTGAAATTTTTTGGTTAAAAATATAAGGAGAAAATATCAAGAATATGATTTTTTTCAGCAGATGTGTTCTCTGCCAGTGCTGCGTTCAGCCTTTCACCCTGCAAATGGTTCTGTGCTGCACCGTTTTCCAGACTTTTCCAGGGAGTCATCTTACCTGCTGTGCATCTGAGATTCTGGTGTGCTGACTGTGCAGTAAGCAAGCTCTGCATGGTGTCTTTGCTGCAGAACCACTGCTTTAAGGCTAGATCGCATTGCTTTGAGAAGGGGGAGCTTTGTTTTTTCTTGAGTAAGAATTACAAATTGTTTATTGTGTTACAGGCAGAACATCTGTGCAGAGAGGAAGGAAAAATTATATCAAGTCCAACAGAACTATATAAAAGCTGTAACACCAGCCAAACAAAGCAAGGAAAGACCTTGAATAGGGCCATGGTGCGTACTTTAAACACAGCTCACTGTGCCTTGCCTTTTCAAGACATACTGGGTGTGGTAGCCATTTATTTTAAAAAGAAGATCAAAATTAAAATCCAGATCAAAGTGTATGTCCAAATTATGGCTTTCTTGAGCAGTACGGAAAGTCACAAAC